ATATATATATATATTTCTTACTGATGGTAAGTCTCTTATTACTACATATAAATATATGCACAGGGATATGCATAATGTACTGCGTTATTTGAGTACACTATACAGCAGTAGCAGCAGCAGCAGCAAGAGCAGCAGCAGCAGCAAGAGCAGCAGCAGCAGCAGGATAATACAAATAAATGGCAACCACTTCCTCCCCTATATATAAGTAAATGCATAAATAAATTAAATAAATAAATAAATAAACAAATAAATAAATAAATAATTTATCTGTATTTCTTTGGAATAGCCAAGGAAATAAAAACAGGAAAAGATTATTTATTTATTTTACTCTTCTTTTTTTCTTTTTAATTCCCCTTTATTAATAATAAATAAATAAATAAATAATAATAAATAAATAGTAATAAATAATAATAAATAACAATAATATATAAATAACAAAGAAATAATAAATAATTTTTTTTTTCTTTTTTTTTTTGTGGGTAAGAAGAGAGGGCACGAGCATAGTAAGGAAAAGGGAGGAAGAAAAGATGAATATTTTATTATTAATTTATTCATTAATTTGTATTCTTTTTATTATTTATATTTAATTTATTTATTTATTTATTTATTTATTTATTTATTTATTTATTTATTTATTTGTTGAACAAAACTACTGAAACACAGAAAGCCGATTGAAGGCGTAGAGCGACGACTGTGCACAAAAAAAAAAATTAAATAAATAAATAAAATAAATAAACAAATAAATTAAATAATTAGTTAATTGGTTAATTAATTAATTAATTTATTTATTTATTTTATGCTAATAATTATTTGTCTACTTCTATGAGTATACCTTCTCGGCTGTATAGAGCTCGCACACACACACAGTATTTATATATACACACAATACATATATGTATAGGGAGGAGTTAGGCAAAAAAAACAATAAATATTAATAAAATAAATAAATAATAATAATAAAATAAATATTTAATTAATTTATTTAATTTATTCTCCCTTAATAACAAAAAAAGAAGGAAATAAGAAGTACTAATGCTTCCTTCCTTATAAGAAAGAGCAGAGAGCTTTTTCCTGGTCTGTGTATGCCGGCTGAGCCCGAATAGGTAAATGTTGTGAGTATTTGTTGGTAAATTAATCAAAATTATTGTCTAAATTATATTAATTAATTAATAAATATATTTTTGTTGTTATTTACAAAGAATTACACCTTTTTATGCATAAAAAATAGCCTATTTAGTAGTAATTAATACCTGTGCACTACTACTATACATATACAGTGACGGTGCAAGAGAGTAGAGGTAT